ATTCAAAATATATTCCTTAAAGAAACCACGCCTATAGATGTGAAGAATATTCAAAAATATTCTTTTGAAAAAAAATCACACCTATTGGTCTGAAGGTCAATAAAAAATATTATTTTAAAAAAACACACCTGAAGGATAATAAAAAAATATTTTAAAAATCCTTACCTATTGGTCTGAAGGTTAATAATAATGTTTCTTAAAAAAACACGTATATTGGTCTGAAGGATATTAAAAACATATTAAAAAACACGCCTATTGGTCTGAAGGATCTTCAACAAATATTAAAAAAACACACCTAATGGCCTTAAGGATATTTACGAAAAATATTATTTAAAAATAACACGCCTATTGGATATTCAAAAAATATTATTTAAAAATAACACGCCTATTGGATATTCAAAAAATATTATTTAAAAATAACACGCCTATTGGATATTCAAAAAATATTATTTAAAAATAACACGCCTATTGGACATTCAAAAAATATTATTTAAAAAAACCACGCCTATTGGATATTCAAAAAATATTATTTAAAAATCCTTGCTTCTGTAGATCCTTCAAAAAATATTATTTAAAAATACCACGCCTATTGGTCCGAAAGATATTCAAAGAGTATTCTTCTAAAAATACGACTCCTATTAATCTGAAAGATATTCAAAAAATATTTCTTAAAAATCTGGTCTGAAGGATCTTCAAAAAATATCCCTAAAAAATTACGCTTGTCAGTCTGAAAATTCTTTAAAAATCCACATTAATTGGTCCTTTTAAATGCTGCATTCTTATAACGATTATAATTCTTGAAAAAAAACTCAAAAAAACTTCAATTTTATATATATATTTTTTTATAAAATATTATTGATTAGAGATCTAATAGTTTTCAAAAAAGGTTTTTTAAAATCCACAACATCATTGTATTAAAAACCCACCCAGAAGTTAAAAAGTTGTTCGAATAGGATTGGATTATTTGATTCTTAAGGTGATACCACTTTCATTTTCCTAATCCAATTCATATTCATATAATTGATTTCCCCAGTGGATTAACTACAAACTGCTTCCACGCGTTTTGCATTCCTCAGAGAGATCAATGTACCAACGAACTTTGTTTTGACATCCATTCAAAAGGAGAAAAAACTCTGCAATTCAAAATAATTTTATTTTGCAGGTATTGGTTTAGACGACGGCGACGACGATGGATTAAGTGACTTGTGCCCCAACTTAATTGTCCGTTCGTCTGCAGCCTCCGATTATATGTTGGGCTATATTCTGGTTTTCTTTACGATAACTCGGGGTTCAAGTACATCAGTTGTAGATGTCTCGTTTCTTATAAGTGATATACCTACATCGTTTTTTCATCACATAGCAAATAATAAAAAAATATATAATAATAATGCCCTGAACCGAAACGATCTGCAATTGACAACAATATGTATGTATATACCAACAACAATGGCGGGCGGTTCTATATACTACTGTATTATGAAATGGTGTGATGGTGGGATGATAGTTGATATTAAATGAAATGAGCAAAAAAAAAAAAAACTTGGGCAGCTATGGTGATCACGCGACAAGGTATAAACATAGTCTAATTAATTGATAAAGCACAATTTCAAATTATATTCTAAAGCGGAAAATATTTACGCACACACACACACACACAGACCTATTCCAAATAATGCGTGTGGAAATCGAATGTAGTATGGATTACTAGTTGGGAACTAAAACAAAAGGTGTTGGGGATTCATTTTTCTTATTTATTACAAGAAGTGTTTATAATGACAGATCTATATGCGGATCTATAAGGGTGGATTTTTTAAGAATATTTTTGCAGATTCCTTAAGAGCAATAAGCGTGGATTTTTAAGAATTTTTTTTAAAGATCCATCAGAGGGTCGATTTTTTTAAGAATATTTTTTTAAACATCCATCAGAGGGTTGGTTTTTTTAAGAATATTTTTTTAAACATCCATCAGAGGGTCAATTTTTTAAGAATATTTTTTTAAGATCCATTAGACCAATAAGCGGAGATTTTTAAGCAACATTTTTTGAAGAACCATCAGACCAATAAGCGTGGATTTTTTAAGAATATTTTTTAAAGATCCTTCAGACCAATAAGCGTGGATTTTTTAAGAATCTTAATTTTAAAATGAGGGTCACTGATGGAGTGTAGAATAGATGTAGCAAAGGATTTTTTGGTAATTCAAACTATAAGTATGCGAAAAGTACTAAAATGTACTAAATTTGGTACAATTTCGTATAGCATGTGAATGGAAAGAACTAAAAATTTGAAATTTGGAATGCGAATTAGGGTTGAGAAGTAGGGTCGATATATAAATGTGCGTGTACTATATTTGGTACAAATTTGATTTGGAGGTACAAATCGAGCAAGAATCATGAAAATTGAAATTAACATTACCGTCGGAGTGTAGGATTGGGAAATTTTTTACTTATGTATACAAAAAGTACTATAATTGGTACAATTTGGATTTGGGTGAAGCGATAGAGCGGGAACAATGAAATTTGGAGACAGGATCACTATAGAGGGGTAACATTGAGGTCAGGATAAAGTTTAAGAAATTAATACTTATGGGTACTAAATTTCGAACAATTTGAATATTAGGTGAACCTATAGATTTAGAATCATGAAATTTGGAGTCATTGGGGTGTAAGATTGAGATATGTAGGAAGTTTTAGAAATATGTACTAATGAGTAGTAAATTTGGTGCAATTTGAATTGTGGGTGTACTGATAGAGTTGGAATTCTGAAACATGGATTAAGGATCACTGTGGGGGTGAAGATTTGGGTTAAGTAGGAAGTTTGGGAAATTCGTACTACGGTGTACTAATTTTGGTACAATTTGAATTGTGGGTGAACCGATAGATTTGGAATCCCGGAACTTGGTTTTAGGATCACTGTGGGGGTGCAGGATTGGTTTTTAAAATTCGTACTACTGTGTAATAAAATTGGTACAATTTAAATTGTGGATGAACCACAGAAAGTTTTGTTGGATGATTGAGGTGTGTACTTATGGAAATAATGTGCGCTAAATGGAACTAAATTTGGTAAAATGTGGATTTGGGTGAACCTTTAGAGCTTGAATCATAAAATTTCGTACTAAATGGTATTCAAATTTCATTTATTGTCGATATTAATGTGCGGATTGGAAGTAGCGGCCATATGCTGGTAAATAATAGTTTTCTATGAATATTCTGAGCAATAACCATGTATTTTTTAAAAATATTTTTTTTTATGAATTGTTAGATCAAAAAGAGTGAATAAAGAAATAGGTTTTTCATTTCTTATGGAAATAAAAAAATGTATGCCGCGCTTTGGAAGGCTTTCTCAACCAAGGGTAGTAGCTAAAGTGAAAGGAAATATATTATTTTGCAATTAAAAAACATACATGGAGAATCATTTGAATTAAAAAAATAACAAACCTAAAATAAAAAGTTGTTCCTCCGGGATGAATTTTACGCTATCTTCCAGAAGTTGAAAACCCCCTTCTGAAAATGCTTTATATGACCTCAGACCAATAGTTAAGCCTTTCCACATTTTTTTTTTATTTTTGCTAAAAAAAAATAACTACTTGGTCTACTAGTAACATGTACCTAAGTGCCACTTACTGTGTAAGTGGAATACTACTTTTTCCATTTAGTGCGATTGTGTGTTATCTATTTTAGTTTTGTGTGACCAAAATAATAATACGACTACTACTTGTAAATAAACTCCATTCGTCGGCAGACATTATTCCAACAAAAATTTGCGAAATATTGTTTATGTTATTGTGTATTTATAATCAGAAAACAATAATAAGATTAGTAACATATATATGTAAATAAAACTAATCTTGATTTAGTTTTTTTCTCTATTTTGCAAAACTAATATTTTGTCTTATCAGTAATAGTAGTTGTTGGTAAATAAATTACCAATCGGTCAAAATAAAGGTGAATAATCGCATCACGATGAACGTCAGTGATATTCAAATCAATTATCAATACAAATAAGACACTCCGCCCTTTTTTTCTGTTGCATCAACAGTTTGTAATAGAAATAGACATACGGATGACAGAGCATTCATTATTTTAATTTAACAAAATAATTTCTAAAACAAAACCGAACTGAGGATATGTTGAACGGATAGTTCAGTTCCTCTTTTCTAACTTTTTTATGGTAAATAACTTATGAATCCTTAAGGTAGTAGAGTTTGCGATTTATTTGGTATACCATTTGTCTTTGACACGTTATTCTAAATAGTCCGGTTTGAACACAATTTGTTGATTTGTAAAAAAACGATATATCACTATGGGAAATATGACATTGTTTCAAGAAATTTAATTCAAAAATACTCCTCTTCAAATTTAAGTCTAATCTTATTGTAAATCTTCCAATACGATTGGTAACTTTTCTTGCTACATGTATTTTGTTTTACATCTTGTTTTTCAAACGGTATATTATTAAGCATCAGAATGCATATTTTGGTTACATATTTTATACACCTTATTTCACAAATGAATATTAATTTAGCCTTGTATACTTCTTTTTTATTTATAATTCCCAAATTTGGTATATTTCCTATTTGTAGATTATTCAATTTTGTTTATTATTAAAATCTAATTGAACATGGTAACAAACAATGCAATTATCATTATCTGTATATTGTGTGTGTTCCCAAGGCAAACAATTTTGATTATTATGCTGATTTCAAAAATTATTTATATATTAATCGTATATACATATATAGTGAGATATATTTAAATCTATAAGAAAAAAAACAATAGTTGTTGGGGTTTTTATTATGAAATATAAAATTTATTTTTATATCATTTCAAACTGTCTTATTAAATAAATTTAAATAATTTTAACTTAATAAATAAATAGATTGGTTACCTTAATTCACGTCTTTTTTTAGTTTTTTATTGGCTTTCGCAATGTATCACATAAACTCGAAAAAATTAGCATAAATAACTTTAAACAAATTGAAATATTTATATAATATTTTAATTAATTTTTTTAATTAATATTAACAACTATTTTGCCGCGTAAATGTCCATCTTTGACTCTTTGGAAGGCTTCGGGCATTTGGTCCATTTTATAGGTTTTCTCAACCAAAGGTAGTAGCTAAAGTGAAAGGGAAAATAATAATTTACAATTAAAAAAGCTAATTAAAGCTGGTTAATCTTTTGAATTAAAAAATAAAAAATGTCGGATGAAAAGCGGGTATGACCGCCAAAATGTCTAAATTTGGGATTTTCATTAGGAGAAACACATAAAAGAGTAAAGTGATTGACTGACTGACTGACTTAACTATTCATCAACATAGAGATGAAACGGCTGAAGCTAGAGTCTTAAAATTTGTGGTGAGGGTCACTCTTTGTCCAAATATGTCAGATAAGTATGGGTTTTTGGAAATTCGTACTAGAACGGCACGAAAAGTACTAAATGTGGTACCATTTGTATTTGGTGAACCGGTGGAGCTAGAACTCTTAAATTTGAAATAAGGGTCACTGATGGAGTGTAGAATAGATATAGCAGAGGGTTTTTTGGACATTAATTTGAAATTTAGAATGCGTATTAAAGTTAAGAAGTAGGGTCGATATAAGGAGGTGGTTTTGAAAGCGTGTACTTCTGTGCTCATTTGGCACACATTGAATTTGGAGAAACAGATGGAATCCTAGAATCATGAAATTTTAAATCAACATTATCGTCGGAGTGTAGGATAGCGATATGTAGGTAGTTTTGAAAATTGTTACTTATGTGCACGAAAAGTACTAAATGGTACTACATATGGTACAATTTGGATTTAAGAGAACCTAAAGAGCTGGAACCCTGACATCATTGTTGAGGTGTACTTATGTGTATTAAATGGTACTAAATTTGGTACAATTTGAATTTTGGGTGAATCGATAGAGCTGGGATCCTGAAATTTGGATTTGGAATGATTGTTGGGTTATAGGATTTGGGGTATGGAGGAAGTTTTGGAAATTTGTACTCATTTGTACAAAATGGTACTAAATTTGATAAAATTTAAATTTTGGGTGAACCGATAGAGCTGGAATCCTGAAATTTGTTGTTGTTGTAGCCCTATTGCTTTTACACAATGGACTGAGGTGAAAGACGTTGGCTGGGTAAGACTCGAGTCGTTTCGGATCGTAGACCCCTCTGTCGTGGAAACGTCTGAAAATTGTAGTTAAGGTCACTGTTGGGAAGTAGGTTTGGGCTATGTAGGAAGTAGTTTTGGAAATTCATACTTTTTGGTACTAAATTTAATACAATTTTAATTTTGGGTGAACACATAGAGCTGGGACCCTGAAATTTGGAGTTAGGATCACTGTTGGGGTGTAGGACTGGGGTATGTAGGAATATTTTGGAAATTCGAACTAATGTGTACTAAATTTGGTGCAATTTAAATTATGCGTGAATCGATAGAGCTGGAATTTTCAAATTTGGAAAATTCGTACTAACGAGCACTAAATGTTACCAAATGTGGATTTTGGTGAGCCGATAGACTTGGAATCTGTTGGGGTATAGGATTGGGTTATGATGGAAGTTTTGGAAATTCATATTAATGTGTTCTAAATTTGGTACAATTATATTTGAGTGATGCGATCGGGCTGGAATCCTGAAATTGGGATATATAATTTTTTGGGATTTTTGTGTACTAAATTTGGTAAAATTAAGGTTTGAGTGATTCTATATAGCTTGAATCATGAAATTTTAAATTAGTTTTTAAAATAAGTATTACAAGAGTACGAAAGCTAATAAGTGGTACCAATATTAGTATACAGATAAAAGAATCTTTACCAAGCCTGGATCAAGTTTGAAGATGGGACCCGTTGGTCCACTCTTTCTGGTATCTACCACACAAATGATTAACATCCTTCGCAAGCCATATGGTGAGGGTATATATCTGTCGGCAACACCGACTGACACTTTTTTACTTATTAAAAATATTTTTGAAGATTCTTCTAAACAAAGTGTAGATTTGTTTAAAAATATTTTTTTGAACAATATATGGAACATTCTTAAAAAGCGTAGATTTGTTTAAAAATGTGTCTTTGAAGATCCCTCAGAGCATTAAGCGGAATATTTTTTCGAAATCCTTCAATCTTTTGAAGATCCTTTAGAAAAAGCATGCATGAATTTTTTTTGGAAATCCCTCAAAACAAAACGAAAGAGAAATTAATAAAAAACATTTACATGAATGATCCTTCGACCTAAAAGGCATAAAAACAAAAAAACTCAAAAAATTTTGATTGATTTTCAGATTCAAAAGCATTGTTAATTAAATCATTTATATTAAAATAAGGACATTTTGGTGGTGTTGGTGGGGAACACGCTTATGGCCGCCAAAATTTTAAATTTGGGATCTTCAATTGGTATTAGAAGAAAAAAAATGGACCTATGTATATTTTATAAAATCGACCTGTATATGGGGATATTTAAAACATGGATCTATACTGTTTGCGAAGAAGTTTTTTGAGGGCTATTGCAAGGTGTTTTTGAATCCTTCAATAACTTAGAATTCTGAATTTCAGCGACTTATGAAATTAATAAAATAAAAAAAAATGTATTAATTTTTCCTTTAACTATATAAAAATACAATCCATTTCAACTTCATTGACATTGCATAACCGACTTTAACAATAAAAAAAAAAAATGAAAAACAAAACATACTCACCTTTTTCCTTTCAACCAATCGTTTCAGATGACTTATGCCCTGCGGTGCTGGACTAAAGAAACCCCATTTAACCAATCCCTTTTGTTGCGTAATTGACTTAACATTTGTCTCCAACAAATTGCCGACATTTTTCAACAGACCCAATGCCATACCAGAACTGTCAATATTTTTCAAAAGTGGCGATGAAAATGTGACATATTGTTGATATTTAAATTGTAACTGTTCAGCTCCAGCCGGTCCTTGACCACTACAATCGAGTACAATATCATATGGTGCATATTGACGTAATGTTTCCATTTCGACGGGATTATGATAATCGATGACGATATCTGCACCCAAATTTTGTACCATTTCGCGTGCATTTTCACTGCAAGTGGAAACAATTTGTGCACCTTGTGCTTTAAGCATTTGTATGGCCAGAGAACCAACACTGCCGGAACCACCCAAAATTAGAATACGTTTATTGTTGCAATTGGCACCGTTTGCTGTTAAAGTGCCACAAATTCCACCCAAATTGGCTGTTACATAAATTCCAGACCATGCTGTAAGGCCAGCATATAAAACGGAAGCGGCTTCTTCGTTGTTGAGATTTGTCGGTGCTGAAGAGAGCTAAGGATAAAAATATATAATAAGAATATAAATTATTATCGTTTAGCTATCTAGGTACAAAACAAAATAATTATAAATAATTTAAGTAAAAATAAATTCATATCATACTACTTTATATTAAAGTATTAGCTGATGGCCTTTGCAGCCAATGCTCTTACCTTCTGTATTATTCTTATATTTACTATAAGTGTAATATTTTATCAAAATTAAATAAAATAATTATGGGATGTTAAATTAAGTTATGTTTAAATATGATATATTGATTTTCTTTATTTATATTAATGAAATAATTATATTAAAAATTAATTTGAAATGTTTAATTTTCTCAAAAATGGCCTTGTATTACGAAATGAACAGAAGACTGGGACTATCAAAATGAATTTTTAAATTTTCTCAGACGTTTTAACTTTCAAAGAAAACGGAGTGACACTTTGGCAGTAGAATCCTCAACATTACCGAAAATGGATCGGCTATAACATGACGAGGGCCGATATATGCCATTTTTCATAATCACTAGAAGTAGTAGCAATGTGTAAAATTGCAAAACTCTACACTAAATATAGACCGGAGACTTTTCAATTTTTCTGTTATATTGAATATTTTATGCATGGAGATTTTATATATATCAAGGAGTTAAACCGCCCTTTTACCCAAAATTCCAGTTAACTAGTAACAATCCTTGTCTGGCAAGAACTCAATAGAAAAGATCTGATTTCTAAATGGTACATTGAACAGCCTCATCTCTTATCGCATGATGAATTCCAATTTTCTTTCAGAACTTACACAATGTTTTGGAACGGCAACATATTCCGCATGAGCGCCTTGTGGTGTTTGTACCGGTACAACACCCCATACTCTTTGACCTAGTGGCAAATTTACATCATCCTTGACAATCATGCCTTTTTGCACCAAAATACCACAGAACTCACGGCCCAATGTTAAAGGAAATTCGATGGCGTTACCCTGACAACGCATTGTATTCAAAACCTTGGAACCATAACCACCTATATAAAATATTTTTCAAAATTTAGAAAACAAATTTCAAAAATCTGAAACAGATTCGTCCATACTCAACATGGCAACATCAATGGGATTGATGGAAGTGGATAACACCTTAACCAAACATTGATCGGATTGACGTATTTGTGGCATTTTCAATTTATCGGAATACTGGAGTTCATCAACATCTCCATAACTGTGGATTTGCCATCCTTTCATTTTCAACTTAGATTTGGTGGTGTCCAAGACATCTCTGGCCATTGGCGGTTGTGTTGCTGCTGCAATATTTGATGTTGTGCTGGCCACATGACTCATATAACGTATATTCCGATTGAGATTTCCGTCACACAATCGTATTAAATATTTTATTTGCATTTTGTAATTTATTTATTTTTCTTTTGTAATTTCGTATTACAATGCCGGCGTTAAATAAAAGTTATCTTCCTTCCAAAGTTGTCAAAACAACAAACAGCTGTTACAGAAACATATGATAGACATACGACCTGCTAATATGTTTATAAAAACATATGTTGGGTTCCCGTACTTTTTTGTTTTATTTTTAATAAGAAAACAGAAAAATATAGCAAAATCTTGTAAAGAACATTTGAGTCGTTTATGTTGGGTGCGTTAAGTCCATTTTTTATATTGCGATATTTAAGGGTATAAATTGTGTTTGTGGCTTCTTTGTGCCCTCAAACATGATAGAATATATAACGTAATATCTTTTGTAAACTTTCCTAGAAAAAAAGATTTGAATAAAAAACTAAAATGGAATAAAACCCCTTTTTAAAATAAACGACTCATTTAATGTAAAAAGGGGGTAAACAGATGATTTGTAAGTAAAAGTTTTGGATGAAAACGTCGTTATACTAACAGCCACACCGTTTAGTTCGGTCGGGACTCTTATAAGGGGCTATGCCAAAACAAAACGAAATAAGTTAAATACACTAAATTGTACTGTATTAATAATGTCTGTTAAATAAATCTTCACAGAGCAGGTAAAAACGGAAAATTTTTCTAATGTAATTACCGTTTTATTACCGTTATTTATTGTCTAGGACTATTAAAGAAGTTAATTGAGCTTCTGGTAAAAACAGGAAAGTATTTTGAAAATTATCCACGGAAAAGTTTTTACCCTACAATACAGCTATCGGTCCAAGTCTTTTGGTATCTAACACAGAAATAAAAAAATAAAACCTATACCACATATACAGCCTTATTCAGGTCATCAATTCACCGTGAATTTGTTTGTTGTTCCCTTTAACGTTATTTTGAACCAGAACTCGCAGCGATTTTTTTCGCTTTTTCACTTTCCCCTTATTCTGAATCAATTTCGAAAGTGAAAAAATCTGCTTTGGGAAAATATTGTTATTCTGGATTACAGGGAGTGGGAGAATGTGATGACATTTTGTGTGAAATTTGTCGCTAATAAATTTAAACTACAGAAATGTAAACATTAAATATTTTTATGAAAAATTTCTACACAATACTTATTCTATGACGATTTTGAATATTATGTATGGTGGTATGCATTTTTTTAACTCAAAAACCAAAAATTAAATGCCATTGGTAGGATAGACGGGCACTATGGGTCATACTATTGCCACACACCAACATCTCATTAACACAAGTTTTGACAACAAGTGTCCCAAATGTGGAAATGTCTACACAGCACAACATATTTTAGAAACATGCAACGCTTTCTACAGAGCCCGCCTCAACTACCTCAACAACGATGGAACGAATATTTTAATATCACCTACTACTGTCAATATTAATAAGATATTTAACTACATACGTCATCTTAAAATTACTATTTAATAAAATTATTAAGAATTGTCAACCGATTTAGCTGATGGCCATTGTAGCCAATGCTAGATACTTTTATTATTAGCATTGTATTTACTACAATGTTAATACTATAATAAATAAATAAATAAATGCCATTGGAAGTCCTATTGATAACGATGCATACTCAACCAAACACGGAATGTATAAAGCCAATAAGGAATATTTAAGCTGAGTTTGATGCAATTTGGAGGCGAAAAGATATTAAGAATTTGTCTGTGAAAAACCCAAACACAAATTATGAAAGAACATTTGGTCTGTTCCCATACTGTTATAATCTACTAGAAATCATAAAGGAAAATTTGTTATAAGTAATAGATCTAAAATTTTTTTTCTTTCAAAAGTTATCGTGTTCATGATTTGAAGGACGAAATAACGGAGGAGAATAATAGACCACTTTAAAATTTTGCGGAGATGCAATGTCAATTTAAATAAAAAGGCACACAATTATGCAGGGAAATAATTAACTGCGAATTCATTTAATTTAATCGCAGATTTCTTCATATTATTCGTTGTGTCTTTGACATCGTTCAAAGCAAAAAGTAACAATTTTTAAAAAGAAAACCAATAAAAAATATTACAAAATTAAATTGCAATGTGGCAACACACATTACAACTTAAATTACAATATGGCAACGCGAATCTTTTTTCAACTACCATTTTCGAAAATTCGAATCCGCATCTCGCATTTTTTACTTCTCCCTATTCAATCAGAATAAAATGAGAATGTGAAAGCGAAAATGTTTTCACAAGCGGGATCTCGTTCTGGATATTCGTTAAGGATAAAGAATTTAGTTTCGAAAATGCGTCTAGGACTATCAAAAAAAGGTAATTGAGAGACTGGTGAAAACAGAGACGAATTTTTTGAAATTATCCGCGAAAAATGTTTTTGCCCTACAATAACGCATTTTTTACCGAACCTAGATAAAGTCTGCAATATTATAGGTCCACGTCTTTTGGCATCTAACAAAGAAATAAAAAATAAAACCTAAACCACATATAAAGATTCTCCAATTAGGTTCAAACTTTGTACACATTGGAATTTTCACTAAACATAGATATTTTATATGGGTTATAAGGGTCCAGTTCTTCTGGGACTTCCTTACAAATGGGAGCGTTTGATCTTATGCATAAATTTTTGGTTTTTTTTTATACATAATTTCACATTGTATCCAAACAAGGGTACCGTGCGAACTTATATTCTTGAATGTCCTTGTGGACTCTCCACTGCCGTGGGGCTGGAACTACGACTAACGTGTGGGAATTTATTTTAAATTCGTCGGGTGTGGGTATGTTACACTTTGGCACACTGGCCGAGTATCGTTCATAGTTTATGGGGATCAAATACCCTTATCAAAAAATACAAATACTTCAAAATGTAAATACACTTTTCCAGAATAGAAAATATAGTTAAAAATTCAAAACCCTGTTCATATTCCTCGTTTGAAAGTTCATTATTTTAATACCATTAATTTGCTATAAATACAATCAAGTTATTACAAGTTAATTGGTTATGGGATTAAAATACAATTTAGAGATATATATAATACAAATTTACTTTTGTTTTGTTGTTACTTTACTTTGCATGTTAAGAACATAATAATTAATTAAAAAAGCTAACAAAGCTTTTATTTTTCAAATTAAGCATAATTATATAGTATATAAATGAAAAGAGGAGGAAGGGAAGGAAGGAGGAAAAAACATTGGGTCCAGAAGTGCAGGAAAAAAACAAAAACAAAAAAATTAGTATAAAGATTATAATATCACATAAAGATTAACTTCAAATATGACCACTTTGACTTTGCAGTGTTAAGTTGGAGTCTGAATTAGAAAAACCCTTTGCCGTTGATGAATGACAATCACGTTCGTCTTCACTGTCCGTGTATGAGCCCGCTGAACGGCAAATTCTAAAAGGGGAACATATGTTTTTGTATTTTTATCAAGTTTTCGAATCACTTTTATCTTATCATTTTACCTTTGTTGATTATTTTGCATTAAATTGTGTTCCTTTTGTATATCAATGGGCTGGGAATTTATGTGGCTAGATAAGCGCAAATTTTCAGCTGTTAATGGAAAATCATTTAAATTACGATGATGATGATGACGATGCATGGTTATTGTAGGCGGCTGCATATGATTCATATCTACAGATGAATGAGATTTGGACAGAGAATAATCTTTGCCATTATTGATTGTTGTGTGTATGTATGGATCTTCATTATTGTGCTCCTGCTGATGATGATGATCATGATTATTTGGCCCATCCAATTCGTTTGCATTATCGTTGATGGTTAAACGTTTTTGCGGCAATGTCCGTACGTTTGAACGTATCTCTCGTTTGTTTTGTTCGATTTCAACAAACATTTCGAAGATGTGTAGAATATTGCCAATGGTACAGCGTATGTCACAGCGTTTGCCAGTTATTTCATAATTTAATTGAGCTATATTTTGATTTAATAGATTTATAGCATATTTCATAGCTTTTGTTGGTATTGATGATCGGCTATAGAGGGGATATCTAAAAATATACCGAAAAAAAAGAAGGAAATTAGTTTCGGGACACTGGATATTAAAGTAAAGATTATAAAGGGAAACGACTGAGGCCCGTTCAGTCTAAATTGACGGAGAGAGCTGAATATGGACAAGGTTAGTGTTTTTCCTTCAATTTATTTACTAAATACCAAAACATAGATGGATCTACTTCTTCCTATGGTATGCTTTTTTAAATCCAGGGTTTTGCAAAAGTACAATGCTATAAGTACAGATAGCGGCTATAAACCGTGCGGAATACAAATAGGGTTTATCCCTCGTCCTACAACATTGCATCACGATGGCACCACGGATTTTGAATAGAACCCGAATTCAATTATGTGACGAATATATGTATACTTACTCTCTTAATGTATAAGATGGAATATCTTTAATAATGTCCTTGATGCGTGTGCGAGAACCCTCATAGATAATAGGATTTCTGAAAAGATAAATACGTCATAATTACTTTCATTTACAATTCAAAAAAAGGAAATCAAATTTTACCTTAAAGGACGATTTATAATAACCGATATCATTTCTACCAAATGTGCTACGTAGCCCAATGAGGCACTTATGGCCATTGGTGTTATATTCTCTGATATATACACACTATTGGGATTATTGGAATCGTATACGTATCCTTCGACCGAAGGAAAAGGAACACCACAAATCGTGTAGACACCACGACCACTCTCACATATCGGATAGATCTCCCTTAACTCTATACACAACGAAGACATACGCCGTTCCACATGTTGTGTTACCGAACGTTTACGTTGTCTCCGCTCCAATTGCTGGACGCTTAACTCTTCCAATTCCGCCTTTTCTTTGCTAAGATTTTGTCTACTCTTCTCCAGACACAATTCCAGCTGTTGTCTTGTGGCAATTGCCGCTGTCAGTTGTTGCCTTAAGTAGGTAATGCGTTTAGAAAATGTATCACGAGCACTTTGCAGGAGTCTTTGTCGCGACTTGAGAGATTCCAATTGTTGCTGCAACTGTTGGGCATGCAACAATTGATGAGGATCAATGCGTTGTTGTTCGGCCAACAAGAGACTTAATGTACGTCCCATGGAATGGTATTGAGAGGCAGTTCCCGACAAGGATGCGGACGATGAACTTAACGATGTTGTTCTAGGCTTACGTAATAGCTGTTCTTTGGTTATGCATCTTAGACTCAAGCGTTTTATTTCGGCTGTCAGTTCGACACATTCACGCTGCGTCTGTAGCCGTTGTCGCTGCAGCTGTTGTAATCTCAGTAGTTTGACTAAATCGTAACTGGTTCTGACCTCGGTACGCACACAGTTCAACTGGGCATAACGGGTGCGAGACATACGCAGTAGGTCTCTCTGCCAGTCCACTGCCGTGGGGCTGGAACTACGACTAACGTGTGGGGAATTTATGGTAAATTCGTCGGGTGTGGGTATGCTACACTTTGGCACACTGGCCGAATATCGTTCATAGTTTAAGGCCAATTGTTCCCTTAGATTTTCCGTCGTGAAGTTATCCGGCGAAGCAAACAGTTCGTCGTTCATTTGGAAAATAAGGGAATTCTTATTTAGTTTTGCTTCACTGTTTTGTGACAAAGGAATGAGTCCGGAAAAGTAAACGCCCCACGTAAAGAGCAGTTTGTCGGGAGGTATATTCTGTCTTCTGGATTTGGCAAATTCCAGCGATAAGGCACTACATGGAAAACAAAGAAAACAAAACATTAATACATGACTCGGCAGGTATTCACTACCACACTAACCTAATGGGTTCCTTATTGCGTAGCATAGTTGTGTCCACTAAACAGTCCCCATTATTTGTTTGGCCTTCGGTTGCTTCAGACGCTTTCTTAACCTTCGCCCAGACTTTAATGCAAACACAATTTGCATTGGATTTGATCATCGACAGACAATGAATCTCCGCCCATTTTACGGGTAAATACAAACGTAGGGGTAACTTTTCACTTTCATAGAATGGCTCATTTTCCGGATGATCATGTAGTGTAAAATACACTAACGTCTCTGGGCAAGCACAATACGCATCAGATTGTTGTATATCTTCTCCGGGGCACAGCGATGTCGTTGACGAGGGACTACAGCTGCAGCACTCCACCTGATTACATTCAATGTTAATCCCTTGTATGGCTGATAGATTTCTCAAACGCAATTGTTGTGTGCTCAATGGCAGCCATTCCCGACACCTTGGTCTGATATTCATGGTGTCCGTATTATTTTGGAATACACATATTTATTTTGCCAATTGATTCGATTGTTTTGTTGTAGTTTTTCGCACTTTTTTTCTTGATTCCAATCCAAAAGTTTTCCAATTAATTTGTCCAACTTGTTCGTTTGTTCGTTGGACTGTCAGATGTCAGATGCAAAATAAGATCGACCTAATCGAAAAACGTTTTGAACGCTACGAATAGGGGAGGCGGGAGAGAATAGTCGATAAAGACCAGATCGAAACGAAAATGGAAAGCACTTATCAAGTTTACGAATAAGTGTGAAGCATAATGCCTTGGTACTTGTCATGTTTAGAATGAAGGCAAAGAAGAAATAACAAAAATTGTTTCACACCGTTTACTTCTGCAGGTTGCCACATATTTGCTCATGGTCATTTACATTATGATTTAAATCATTATATGTTACCAGACACTTTTTAAATTTAAGGGGGCTTCGCTGGAGAATTAGCATATTGGCGGACCTAAGATTTTTGAAAAATCAAACCAGGCTGGAAAATAGGAAGTATAATCACCGATTGGATTTATCATTTATCAGGGTACAATTATAAAAATGTGTGACTGTGTATGTGATATTTTAGAAAATATAAAAAAAAAATATCGCTGCGAGAGAGGCATAACTCAAAAAACGTGATTTTCGAGTTACTGATGCACGATTGTTCGCTATAATAGATATTCGTATGTAAAAATTTCATACGAATATCTCTTACACACTATAATTGAGAAGCTGTAGAAGTTCCTCTGTCCCATATAAAGTGTGAGTAAATTGAAAACTTAAAACGCATTTTCTGCATGAAATGCGCGATATGTTCCATTTGTTCAAAGATGAAGTATACAGTATTGGCGAGAATAATTGTATGAATTATGAATGAATTAATATGCAAACCATATTCCCAATACACCCACAGGTGTATTTTTTTTTTTTTTTTGTTTTGACAAAAGATGCCGTACCTTGTATAAATGTACTATGCCTTCAGCCTATGGTTTAGGTAGGTCTACATAATATAACACATGTTTTATTATTCGTTTTATATGAGGATAAGTTTTATTTTAAAGCTGACCAACTTTGGAATTGGTTCATGATGAGGTTGCCCTATAGACCCCACCTCAGAATTTCATGTAGGTTTAATAAAAACTGTTTCCAGGATAAGATAATAGGGAGGTGATGTGACACCAATGCCAAGTCACGTCATTCGTCAGACCAGGGGAAACAATTTAAATGTCCGATGAGCTTTGGCAGTCTCTCTTTATCCTGGTGGGCAAAACGTTGAGCTATGCCAAGTCACGTCATTCGTCAGACCAGGGTCTGGGTCTCTTTATCCTGGTGGGAAAAACGTTGAGCTATCAGTTTGCTCGGCCAGCGCCATGTCCTAGGACGGAATGCCATAACTCATGATGTGCATTGAAATCCCCTAGCAACCAGACGGTTATAGGCTTCCAAAATGCCAGCGCCTTGTCCTAGGACGGAATGCCATAACTCATAACTCACTACCCCCAAATATTCCAAGTATGGGTCACTACTTGTGTGGGAGGTACCGTGAATTAACCCGATCAGAATTTTATAAATAGCTTGTAAGAAACGCTTTGTTAACATTACTTAACACACATTCACAACTTGGCAGCATTTTTTCATTTATACTTTCAACAGCTGACTGTGTTGCCCTATTGTCATTTATTGTTACGTACGGCAACAATTACACATTTCATAATTTTCTATTTATTTACAATCTCAATTTAATATCAGCTGTGTCAGCTGTCGGTCTACGGATTAAACGGGAACAAAATATTTATCAATTACAACGAACGGAACGGATATCGGTTAAAAGCTACGTATTTCCGTAAATTACGTACATAGCACAGCAAAATGGGTAATCAACAGACGAAGAAAGGTGGTAACGAAAATCTATTTACCAGCGAAGAATTGAAAATTTTGGAAACATCATTTCGTTTGGCCAATGGTGGAAATACGGAAAAAATTACCGAAAATAAATTGGTGGTAAGCAAAAAACCAAACAAACGCGTAATATTTATGTGTAATCGAATCCATGAATGAAAATGTGTTTACAAACACCGCAAAAATTGCCAACTAAGGGTATTTAGCGGTGCGGATCAATTGTCGTATTAACCAAAAATTTTGTAGTCATAAGACTCCTTTCCCCATATATAGTATGTATGTGTGTCTTGTTTTCTTTAAGGTATAACTCGGAATTTTCAATCATCGTCATATGTGGTTGGTGTATTCGTTGTTGTTGTTGGCATGGCTTGATTGGGCTGTGTGATTGATGTGCACAAAGCTTTCGCACGCCATAAAGTTATGGGCTTGTTGTTTATGATAAATACGGCATTGTCCGTACGTTTGTTGTTGCAGGCCTACATTGGGGAGGAACGGAATAATGAGAAGAGGATATGACTCTTATTATGAAGATGAAGAACTGCCAAGTCAGCTGTTGTTGTGAACAGGTTTTTCGTGTTCGAAATTATCGAAAATTATCTTTAAACTGTTTCCAGCTCTTGAAAAATTAAAAGGGGATCTAAATTAAAGAGAAGTAAATAAAGTGTATCTTTGTATTACTTGTAACCCCCTGAGCAGTCAATCCAGTTTTGTGATTATTTTGTCTTCCAAGACATGTAAATAACCATCGAAATGGAAACAATTACAAATGTCATTTCAATCTAAACAGGTTTCGATCTTTCAAATCGACAGAAAGTAAACAAAAGCAAGACCCGAACATTGTTAAATCTATAATAAAATGCATTGTCATTGTTTGTGGTCACTCCATGTTAGATGATTATGTACAGAATATGCCTTTCTCTTTAGTTCATTTTTATTCAATTATAAATCTCGTCAATACTTAAATATGATATTCTATGCTAATATTTATAATCTTTTCAGTATACTTTCGTTCTTTCCCAATGTTCGTTCGTTCGCACATTTCAAATTTCTTTAATTTTTGTCTTTGTCGGGAACTGTGATTTTTTTGTTTGTTTATTTTTTTTAAGAGTGCCTTCTTTGCTGACAGATTCGTTTTTCCTTGCAAGTTCAAGACTAGTAGTTAAATGCCCGCGTATCTCTCATTCTGTGTGTATACAAATGGCCTAGTCTAGTTCGTCTGATAATAGCTATCATACAACGTTGACAGTGTATGCAGTTGTAAGACAAAATATAAAATAGAATGAACGAAATAAACAAACAAAAAAGCGCTTACTACGATTAGTTAATAAAACATTTATTGAATAATTAACAACTATTGTATTTTCAGGCCACTAATTCGAGGTAGTTGAGGTTGATGATATCTGAATGCCATTAATTTAGCTAATTTATTTGTAAATTTGTCAAATGCATGAGTTTTTTTCAATTTAATTGAAATCTTGAGAATTTTGAGATTTATAGATCAGTAACAGATTTATGTCCTCTTCAGTCTCTCCCGTCTATCTTCGACGTTTTTAATAAATAAATACTTTTAACTACTTAATTAAATTAATACCATCAGAATTTTGTAAATTAATCTCGTTTTGGACAACTGAACCTATAGAGGAAGGACCAAAATCGAACAGGCCGATGTCAATATTAAATTAGGAACACAATTAGGATTTATAATTGGTCTGTTCCCGTACTACAAGAACGTACTATTTGTCTGTTGCCGTACTGCAAGAATCTACTTACTCAGACCATAGTAGCATCTGTTGGCCAACACTATCATTCTCCGAATTTCAAAACTGATGTCATTAGTTTTATTTATGGCGGTACCAAGGTATATAAAATCTTTGAATACCTCGAAGCTGTGTAGTTATCAAGTTACACAGTTGGTCCGCGTCTACTGGAAGTCTTGCGTGTTGATACCATCAGCTTTGTCTTCTCGCTGTTTACTGCCTTTTTCCAGCAGGATGTAAAAAATGTCACACGGCGAACTGTCACCTTGTCTGAATCCTCCTTTGGTATTGAAGTGATTCGATAGGTCCTTTCCGACTTTAACTGCTGACCATGTGCCACTTAAAGTTATCCTGCATAGCCATATTAATTTTGCAGGAATGCCGAACGTAGACATGGCTTTAAAACCTGTGAACGGATAGGGCTATCGAATGCGGCTTTATAGTCGACGAATAGGTGGAATGTGTCGATGTGTTTTTCGTGGGTCTTCTCTAGGATTTGGAAATCCTGAGTGAAAATCTGGCCACTGGGGGATTTGCCAGGTCTGAAGCCGCATTGGTATGGTCCAATAATGTCATTGACCTGGATATGCAATGGGAAGGAGACTAATTCCTCTATAGTTGTCACATATCACTTTGTATCCTTTTTTTGTGCATGGAACACAGGATGCTGAGGTTCCAATCATTGGACATGCATTCCTCTAGCCAACTTGTACTAATCAGCATCTGACCACCAGTCTTGAATAGTTTGGCTGGTAACCCGTCGGCTCCTGCTGCTTTATTGTTCTTGAGCCGATTAATTGCTATGATGACCTCATCTTGCATAGGTAGTGTGCACTCTATACCGTCATCTCTTATGGCTACTGGGGTATTTTCTTTTTAATTGAGTAAAATTTCATAAGGGAAAAACTTTCCGGATCGTTGTTACTAATCGCACATTGATAAGTCTCTTTTGCACATTATTATTTGAGTTCGTATAGGATTATAATGTTTTTTCCCGTCGGAAAATCTCCTGCCACATTTCTTATTAATAAGCAATTATTTTCTTTTCTTTCATTTCCAGGAATCATGGTCTGCAATAATTGATAAAAAATTAGCACAATTTACAGCTAATTTCCTTTTTACACAAACTCCTCAGTCAACACCGCAAAAGACATCGACACATCATCATTCACAGCACATTGGCACCATAACATTTCATAAATATGCCGAACCATATTATATTGTCGAGAGGGGAACAATCGATCAACAAATTCACTTTATACAAACATCGTTGGGTAATAAATCGACAGAGGATGTTGATTTGAAACAGCTTGAAATGGTAAGATTTACACCATTTATAATTTTCAGTGGGTTATTAATAAAAAATATTTCCTCCATTTATATTTGTAGTATATTACCGCATTATTACTCAGCTATTTACATATGTTGAAATCACAAAATACCCCCGCATTTGAATCATGGTATAAATTTGGTTACCACTGCAATGATCGTTCGGCTCAATGTTTTGCCAAGGGATTAGTGCGGCATCTCTGCAAAAAAGATTCCGATTCGACAGCCTCCACAAGTGATTTGGAAAAATGGTTGCAGGTCAATCCCACATTTTTGATTATATGGCGTTGTGTGTTTTCATATTTGTACGGTTATGCGGGCAATGGAAAGATCAGTAAATTGGGTAATCCTCCCAGTAGTCAAATATTACCAATGCAAGAAGGTTTGTAATTATCACTGCACAAAAATATGAGTATTTTTTTAATTTGTTTCCTTTCCTTAATAGGTTTACCATTCGGCACCAATTACACACCCATGCTGGATATACCCCACGTTATATTTGTCAATAGCAATGTGCCCGTGGATTTACAACACAAATGGCGTTTTTTGTTCTCTTCGAAAATCATGGGTGAAAGCTTTTCAACAATGCTGGGAAAATTGTTGAAAAAGGGACCAACTCTGTTGGTAGTCGAAGATGAGGATCATTACATTTTTGCCGGCTATGCACCCCATTCATGGGCAATGGGTCCAAATTTTATAGGTAAGTAAAATTATGCGGATTATCAGCTAATTTTTTAAAATATCAATGAAATGTGTATCAAAGATCGTGTTATAAAAGAGATAGTACACAAAGGGATTATATACTTGGAGCTGTTGACTCTCTAGCTATCATGTAATCGACCACATATCTGAAAGGTCAAGGCAAAATTTTTGCAGAATGGACAGCGGTTATGAGAATGTAACTAAATGTGCAAATCAATGGTCATACAACTCGACCACCAACTTTCCAATCCAGGAAAAAGAACCTAAAGTAAAAATTTTCGAATTTTTATACCTTGGCAAAATTTGACAATTTCGCATCTTAGACAAATATTTCAAGATGATTCCAACGTAATGCCTTAACATAAAATTAACCCATTGAACGTTTCCTTTTCATTTCAGGTGATGACAGTGCCATGCTATTTACTTTAAGTCCTGCCATGCGTTGTTTCAACACCACAGGTTATAATGATCATTATCAGTATTTGAATTTGGGTCAACAGACAATGCCCAATGGTTTGGTAAGTAAGACAAGGAATACGAATCTTTAAATTTATTACAAATAATTTTTATTTTATTTCCTCTTTCGAACAGGGCATGGGCGGCCAATTTGGCTATTGGGGTCTTTGGTTAGACTGTGAATATGGAATTGGACAAAGTTCTGAGAGCTGTACCACTTTCAAAGAATACAATCAACTGAGTAAGCGTAAAGATTTTCGTATACGGAATTTGGAGGTATGGGGAATTGGCGATGAACCCAAACAGGGTGATGACAGCGATGAGGAGGGGGAGGTAAGTACTTTTAAATATATTTGTAAAACTTTAAATAATTATATTTTTTATTTTTTGTTCTAGGGTACCAATAAACGCTCAATTTTGGATAAAAATCTGGAAGATCGTGTCATGTTGGAATTATCCGGTCGCAATATGCATTCAGATGGTCTCAGAGATCCCGATTTGGATTTATAAATTATTACAAACTCATAGGTTGTTCCTATTTCTTTTTGTTTTGTTTTTAAGTTAATTGTACTGTGGGTCCATTTCCCGTTTATTTTATCTAAGGAAAAAATAATTAGTCTATTTTAAACAAAGACAATAACGCCCAGATGCGTACATATATAAATTTGCTATTTGAAATAGTTTTACTTTTTCAATTTCAATATTATTAATCTTTAAAAGATTTTTGCTAGCCTTAAAAGTAGTCATTCCCTTATAGCAATATAAAATCATATATTTAATGCAATTGGATTTCTAAATTATACAAATTACGAGAAGCAATTTTTTTACGAATAAAATCAGGGAAATTAAAGTTATTTCGAAATAATATGACTGAAAAATAAAATAATTATGTGTATTATATGATTTATTAGTTACCATTTAAAGAGTTTAATTTCTGTGAAATGATTTTTAGGCACTTTCACTTTGCAGTAGGTTGTATTCGTTTTGCGTAATAAAAATTCGTTTTTTTAGGAGTTCCGTAATTTATTTTGTTCCTTGCTGAATTTGACACAACCCCTAAAAATGTGTCCATATATACGATAAGTTTTTAATGGAACACATATATACATACATATATTATATAAAGAATTTTTCAATAAATACTCTTATATCATAAAATGCTTGAAATATTATTTTTCTAAATTTATCCAAGGTTTTGAATAATTTAATTCCTTTATCTTAGCAAGTGTGGTGGATCGGTTTTGGGATTTTCCAACATGTTTGTACTCCCTTTTCAGTGCAACAGTTTATTTATACAATTCGTATCCTTGCAATCGTAACTGTAATACTTTAAAAATGGTTGGATACGTATACCTATAGGGTCCTAAAACCTGAAGTAATCATATCCTAGGAAAATGTGTATAATAATTTTAAATGGCATACCAAAATTGAAACAACTCTAGTTTAGTAAAAACTATCAGATTTTCTGATTTTTTTCCAGAGGTAGGTATTTTCGGGTACTGGTACCCGGTTGTACGGATCCGGTTAATATAGAATATGTATAATTTTATAGTTTACAATACCGATTTGGAGATACAGTCAAAAGCAGATTTTGGTCGAACTTGGGGTCCATTATGGTCCCTCTCCAAAATGACTACAAAAATGGTGCGATATGTTGCTTTATCTGTTCTGAATCGAAAGATAAGGGCCTTTGTAGGAAAGGAAATACTTTCTACACGATAGAATCTCTTTTTAAATAGAATGTTTTTTTTTTGTGGACAGCCTTCTGTCAGGATTTTAAGACTTTCTTCTATGGACAAATACCTACGCGATAGAAACTCCTTTTAAATACCTTTATCTGGAAAAACATTTTGAGAAATATCTAATCGTTTTTACTAAACCCTGAAATTTGTTGCTCAGATAGCCTTCTATAAAATATCATCAGTTGAGGTAATTTTCCATTGAATTCTCAGGTGTATTCCCAAACCATATTTTCAGAGCCCAGACCCGAACAAAGAGTCTCATGTGTGGTGTTCATGATCAGAAACTACCCTCGTCTTACTCTACTAGTGACTGTCACATCTGCCAATTGTTTTTAAATGTAGGACTACTACAACAACAGCAAAAACCTCGACCTAAACATCCTATCAATATCATCTAAAGGCCCTTATATCAAGAAATTTGTTTGGGCACCTATGGCTAAATATTGGGTTATTGAGCGGCTTCCGTCAAAGTCTTGGAAGATGACCCTAGCAAACGCCTTCTATAAGGCGAAATAAAATACATACTACACAATTACCTATATTATACAGGAACCTGGATTGCCGAGGTAGGTACCACTTTTGTTTCTTAGACAGATAACACCTCACATAGTTGTGTAAACTCAATTGGACTTACTGTGCAATTTCTTTCTTCGACGATTAAATCGCCGAGCTCCTTGACACGACTTGTTTCCTCTCTTAGCAGTCTAGGAAAAAAATTTCGAACTTAATAACAGAATTTATAAATATTTTTGTTTTCAAATTTCCAAAAAAATCTTTAAATTTGAACATTTTCGATTAACGAGTACAATTCGCGAAAAGTCGACGTATTTGGACAATTGAAAGAAGAAGCAATAAGAACAAAAGTGTTGTCAATGCCAATAATGTAGTGAGTGTAAAAAAGCGTCAAGAACAAAGTCACATAAAATTGAATAATTAGTGATTAATTAATTTCCTAATGTAAAATCACGGAGAAAAATCCAAAATCAACATCAAGCTAGGCTTCCGATAAAATGCGTAATTTAAATTTGACAGACTGACAGACCCATTGAATTTTTAACGGAAAAATAACAAGAAAATTATGGCGCATTTATCCTGAATATCATTGATCATTGATAAAGTGCAGTATCTCGTTTTAATTGCCAAATCGAGACCAATTTACCTTGACTTATCATACAAAATTAAATGTACTCAATATCTCAACTTGGTCCAAACCCTAAGCAAAATCGAGATAATTTCTAATACAACCCTGCTTTTATGCCACAAAATAAGTTACAATTCAAAATAATTCCTAGCCAACAATTTTAAAATGTTTATTCATTTAGATAACACCACAGATTTTCCCTCAACATCTTAAATTAAAATTGATACGTTTTATTAATAATGTACTATTTTTTATATAATGAATAAAATTTAGTTTTATTATGATAAAAGAAGTGCTTAGAACAAGATATAACAATAAACCAGTGAGCGGAGCAGTATAGTCGGACGGGGCCGACCATATGATACCCTACACAACTACCACGAAACGCACACTTTCGGTGGTTCTATCTTCTGAGCCTGGGCAATATTTCGTGATAATTGCACCCTTTTTACAGTTTATAGATCAACAACTCCTATTTCTAAGTCTTGCATATTTTCCAAAATGTTTTTTTCTTGAAGAGAATTTTTACACCATACAATAAAAAATTGGCCACTTTAGGTTTTGGTTGATTTGACCCTCGGAAAATTGACCGACCATCATCTAAACAGCCGCAGCAGTATTTGGTCAGATCCCCTTCACCTTGTAATTGTAAAATATATGATGTTCTGTATATAATAATTGCCTCTAAAGCGACTATAAAATCTGACAAAATTAAAGTTTTCGGTTCATTGCACCCCCTGAATGAAATCTCAACTTCACCGAAAACTATAAGCGTTGTCCTTGACCATAGTCGGAACTTCATGTACAATTTCAAAGCGATCAGCGCGACATTTCCGTCCTCTAATGGAGTAAAAGTAATAATATACACATAGTCACCTTTACATAATTACGTATAACTCCCGCATCGGAGTACATACAGCCATATAATTGGTATCAATTTGAAGGTCAACAACTCATCTTGGACATACTATCAACATTTCGAGTATATGTCCTTCAGGAGCAAGTATATATGTCCCAGAATAAAAATTATGTAATTTTTCCCACAAAAGTCAGGGTCCATTTGACCCGCTAAATATTGACCGATCTTTATCAAAACAGGTATGCTTATTCTTTGACCCAATCCCCTTCTCCATGTAAAATTTCACGATGTTCGGACCATAACTGCGGCCTCTGGAGCGACCAGAAAAACCGACAAAAAATTAGTATTTGGTCCATTTCATCCCCTAAATATTAACCGATCTTTATCAAAAGCAATAGGGGTCTTCATTTTCATCCTACATGCAAAATTTCGTGAAGATTGGTCCATAACTGTGGCCTGTATCGTGTTTACAAATTATAATGGACAGACGGACAGACGGACACACATGTCTAGATCGACTCAGCTAGTCGAGATATGACGATCGGTATACTTAAAGGTGGGTCTAGGACCAATATTTCGCGGCGTTACAAACATTTGGGCTGCACAAAGCTATAGTACCCTGACAACATAGTTGTGTAGGGTATAAAAATGATATTTTATTGAAATAACGCTTAATTTCTAGCAGTGGTGTTGTAATTATTGGTATTCTTTAAAGAGAACGGTAGCTACAAATTAGTTAATTTATAATTGACATTACAAAAATTTCAAACAACATATGTTTTTATGGATTTTTTTAAATAATGGCTAGTAATTCCTATTAAAATTATACATATATTGCTTGAAAAATTGTCACACAAATTATGAAACCATTGAAATGTGTATGCATACGTAAACAAATAACGGCTGACATATTAGCTTTATATTATTTTAACACTGGTCTAATTAGTTAGGGCATAGTCTAAACGCGTCAAAAAACATTTACCCATAGATCAATAAGCGTTTTTTCAATGCAACCATTTGGCGATTTTTTTTCAACACTAATCATCAGTAAGATGATCTTTTTCGCCATTGACAACACTGTTTTTTCTATTTGCTTCATTCTTCAGTTGTCAAAAAATGTTCAAAGTCGGTCGGTCGCGAATTCTTCTCGTTAATCGTAAAAGTTTAATTTCAGTGAAATATTTAATTAAAAACTAAAAGAAAAGTATAAATTATGTAAATATAATTCCCCAGAAACAATATAATTGTGAAATAAAAGTTTTATTCGAATGTAATTCATTGAAAAATTTCGTTTTAACTTTGCATTGAAATTGTAACTGTTTATTGTGCCTTTGCTTATGAGTTGCGTGTGAGTGTGTATAAATGAGAGAGTATCATTATGTTTTTGGCGGACGAAAACGATCTTGTTTTGGCAGGCGGTAACTATCATCGGGTGAATGAAATGCAAAGGGGAAAGATATAAATGTGCACTGTTTTAAATGCGTAATAATATTCGGTAACAATGTCGTGTAATTTCGTTTCGTTTATTGACGGTTATAATTGTCCAACTCAAGTGTCAGAAGGAAATGAAGAGTGGTGTCATACTGGACTACTTTATCTTTTGTTCATAGTATTCTAATTGGACATTGTCAAAATCTATCTCTTTAGGTCAGAAAACTAAAATAAAGAACCACAAACACGAAGGAGTGTACTAGAAATGGGAATGAAACGTTTATTAACACCATTTATAAACAAAATATGTGAATAAACAATAAAACAAATAAAAACAGAAAAAAATATGTGTGACAAAAAAT